AGTGATACAGGAGGTGATACTGAAGTAGGGTGGACCCTAATCTAATCTCAGTGCTGTCCTTATGAAAGAGAAGAACGGACACAGAAAGACAGACACGGGAGGGAGGATGCCGTGTGACCTCCAGCTGCAAGCCACGGAATGCTTGGAGTTACCAGAAGCTAGGAGAGAGGCATGAAGCTTCCCCACCAAAGCCTCGGAAAGAAGCAACATGAACCGTCATAACAACCTGATCTCAGACTCTCCCACTCTTGCCTCCCGAACTGTGAGGCTAACCAATTTCTAGCCTTAGGAGCCACCCAGAGTTAGGGTATTTTGTTACAACCGTCCTAGGAAAGAAAACCAGAGCATTTACCTGAGTCCTGTGTATGTCCTGGAAAGGCACCTGCCCGCTGGCTAATTCACAGGCCGTAATCCCAACACTGTAAATATCTGACTTCACATTATAGCCATGCAAATCCTGTAGAGAAGCACAATTAATGCGAAGTCCTTTAATGTAAAGAGTGAATTACACACTTCTAAACATGTGCTCTTTTGATAAATGATGGTGAACAACAGTGGAGGGGGGAGGGGAGTGGGGAATCCCGGAAGCAACAAATCAAGATATACCTCATATATGGTGCATATATATTTAAGTCCTACTATAAATGAGACTTTTGACAGGAGAAAAACATCTCACAGTATGTCATTCACCGATCTAAATTTAAAGGCATGACTGTCCTTTAGTCAAACTGAGAAGACACTTGAGACGCACAGACACCCCAATGGAACGGCCACATCTGACCTGTCTCAGTAGTTCTGGACTCAGCCACGGCTGCACTGAAGTGCTGAACTGTGGGAAATCATACACAGCCCTATGCCTCTGTCCGTGCTTAACCAGACTATGCAGATGGGACAGGCCAGAGAGGGTCACTAGGCCATCACCAGAAATGAGGATATGGCTGGCTTTAATACTCCTAGAACAAAAAGAAACAATCCTAAATACTAGGAAATTGGCCAATAGTGAAAGAATAAAAATCCAGTCAAGACAAAGCCAGGTATACGCTCAGATATGAAATGCTCTTTATAAAATGGCAGCTCCCTGAAACACCCAAGGGATTAAGAAATTCCTTCAGCGCTTCAAGATATAACTAAACAAGGAAAAATATACCTACCTGTTTGGAATTAACAATATGTTTTCAAACAAGGAACACAACCAATTATTATATTATTTTAGGAAGTTGTTACAAAGTAGCTGAGGTGAAGTCTAAAAAATGTACTTAAGATAAATAATGTAAAGTAAATGCACTGTTGTCTAATAAAAGATAGCCTCTTTATATAGAATCATTTGGAAAGGAATGTCTTATATGAAAATTTCTTGTGTCGAATAAGTGATCAAATAGCTTTAGTTCATCTAAAACAGACTTTGGACACTAAAAGGGTGTGGTAGTCAACAGCCCAGGAAAATACAATAAAACCTCAATGAATTAAAACAGCCTGTCAGAAAAACCTCAGTTAACTACAATACTGTATCTCAAAACAAAAACAGTAAGACCAAGCTTTAAGGTGCTTGAGACAAACAATAAGAAAGCAAGCTTATTTTAAAGTAACCCAATCAGGCAACACAAGTTTTCTTAGAAAAGCCCTCCTATGAACATTCTCCACCTACGATTTGGTAACAAGACCATTGGTATTTAGATAATGTCAAGGTGCAACACAAGATTTGAGGTATCGAAAGTTTAATTGCAACTTGTACAAACAAATATGATATAAACCTGAACTGCAGATAAAGCAGCTCTTCATTTACTGAAAAAACAAAACAAAAACAAACACTCTTAAGTAGGATCCCATTCCCTGCAGCTGTCTCCCAGACAGGATTCCACACCCTCCCTCGACTTTGGGTGCTCCCTGAAGGCGGGCACTCCACCCAACAGCGAGCACAGCACTTAGCGCGGAGGAGGAGCCCTGTGTTTTCCTGGTGAACATAAAATGCCAGCAACCACTTCACCTGCCAATCTCTTCCTCCCTCCGCCTTCCCTTATTCATCTGCTGTTTCTTCTCTTCACACTAAACTGTGCCTTCCTACAGATTCCCTAGGAGACTGCATTTTGTAAAATACAAATAAGTAAATACCTGTGAAGATAGCCATTTTGGTGCAGATAGTTCAGCCCCCTCACTGCACCAAAGAGAATGTTTCTTATTAAAGTTTCACTCATTCCTTCAGGAAAGTAAGTCCTCAAGAGCTGACTTGCTGAACCTGAAAAAAAAAGTCTTTAAGTCTTTAGATGAACTTTGAAAGTAATCTTGCTTATAACTAGAGCTTAGATTTTTTAAAAAACATTTTATTAGGGGCTCATACAACTGTTATCGCAATCCATACACACATCAATTGTGTAAAGCGCATTTGTACATCATTCTCAAAACATTTTCTCTCCACTTAAACCCCCGACATTAGGGCCTCATTTTTCCCCTCCCTCCCCCATGTGCCCTTGATAGTTTATAAATGGGTATTTTGTCATATCTTGCCCTGTCCGACGTCTCCCTTCACCCACTTTTTGGTTGTTTGTCCCCCAGGGAGGAGGTCACATATAGTTCCTTGTAATCGGTTCCCTCTTTCCTACCCACTCTCCCTTTACCCTCCCTGTTTTGCCACTCACACCACTGGTCCTATAGGGCTCATCCGTCCTGGATCCCCTGTATTTTCAGCTCCCACCTGTACCAGTGTACATCCTCTGGTCTAGCCAGACTTGCAAGGTCGAATTCGAGTCATGGTAGTGGGAGCGGGGAGGAAACAATTAGGAATTAGAGGAAAGTTGTATTTCTCATCGTTGTTACATCGCACCCTGACTGGCTCATCTCCTCCCTGAGACCCCTTTGCAAGGGGATCTCCAGTGGCCTACTAATGGGCTTTGGATTTCCACTCCACACTCCCCCCATCATTCACTATGGTAAGATTTTTTGTTCTGATGATGCCTTATACCTGATCCCTTTGACACCTTGTGGTTTCATAGGCTGGTTTTGTTTTTCCATGTGGGCTTTGTTGCTTCTGAGCTAGATGGCCGCTTGTTTACCTTCAAGCTTTTAAGACCCCAGACGCTATATTTTTTGATAGCCGGGCACCATCAGCTTTCTTCGCCACATTTGCTTATGCACCCATTTGTCTTCAGTGATCCGTTCGACACCTCATGATCACACAGGTTGATATGTTGTTCCATGTGGGCTTTGTTGCTTCTGAGCTAGATGGCCGCTTGTTTACCTTCAAGCTTTTAAGACCCCAGACGCTATATCTTTTGATAGCCGGGCACCATCGGCTTTCTTCACCACATTTGCTTATTCACCCGCTTTGTCTTCAGCGGTTGTGTCGGGAAGGTGAGCATCATAGAATGCCAATTTACTAGAAGAAAGTATTCTTGTGTTGAGGGAGTACTTGAGTGGAGGCCCAATGTCCTTCTGCTACCTTAATACTAAACCTATAAATGTAGGTTCATAGATCTATTTCCCCATCCTCATATAAATATATTTGCATATGTACATGTCTTTATCTAGACCTCCATAAATGCCCTTTGCCTCCCAGCTCTTTCCTCTATTTCCCTTGATTCTCCTCCTGTCCCACTATCATAGTAGAGCTTAGATTTTCATTACAACACCCACCACCACTCACACACACACAGTGTTCTACTTTCGAGTCTAATTATTTTCCTATGTAGAGGTAATTTTCCTTCAGAAATCTTTAAAATGTTTTGATCTAATGATGCCCTACAGATTAGTAAAAAGAACTAGTCATTTTTTAACATTACTTTAAAAAACACAAAGTGTGTGAATATGTATGTGCTGTCTGTTTGTTAATTCAGGGTCAATTCACGAAACCTGTCTTAAAAATCAAAGCTCCAAAATGTATGTATTTATTCAATCAACACATTTATTGAACATGACTGTGCTAGGTACTGTGTGCACTTGGTGACACCAACAGGAAAGATACAGACAAGTCCAGTGAGAGCAGCACAGGTGCTTACAATGCAGTGGAAACCAGTCAGGGAGGTGTGCACAGGAGGGACAGGCTACTGCTGTCCACTGAGAGAGAGAGAAAGAGAGGAGGGCCAGCGAGGGGAGCAGCCAGCTTGTGCAAATGCACCAAATGCGTGCTGAGGCTGTGGTGGTTCCCCTGATGTCAGACATATTCTACTTCTGTGTGAAGACTAAACATCCAACATAATACAGAAATAGAAATGTGCTAGGAAATCTAGAATTGGCCATTTATAAATTTTAAGTAATAAACCACAAACTTAAGGAGCTCACTCAACCTTATAAATCATAGCATCCAGGCTAAATAACGAGCCAATTTATCTTAAAACCAGCTTTCTTACCATAAGCCTTAAATGGAGATATCACCCAAAGCCAGCTGCCAACAGTGAAAACTGTCCAGTACGTTGTGATATTGGGGTGCCGCTGGAAGTGGGATAGAGCCACTGATTTCTAGGAGAGACACAGAAGAGACCAGGCATTTAAAACCAACCTTTTACCCCTTTGTGCTGTGACAGCAGTAGTGGCAGTGAGTGCCCCTTGGGGGTCAGTGTTTTTCTCTCTTTAAACCTCACGTGCCATGTTATTCCCAAGTTACCCAAGTGGGAACTTCAAGTAAGTCGGAAAGCATGTCTGTGAGTATGAGCATGGAGCTGGCAAGTGGACACAGGCTACGGGCGTTGGTTTAATCCCAAAGGCCACATTCTTAAATACTATGTTCTGACTATAAGCAAATCTGAAAATACAAAGGCGAAAGTCCTTCCTGACAAAAATGAGCCTTAAAGAAAAACCACTGTCAACATTCTCATACAGCTTTTCCTGTACTTATATCCATGTACCTACACGGGTAAGTCAAAAGGTATTTCTACAAAGTCATAGAAACCTTTATTAAACGAAAATATCAAACTGAAGTTATTGTTTCTTGACATGTCCTCTACCTAGTTCTATATACCTCTAGTTCTATACCCCTCTAGGTCTATACCCCTCTAGGTCTATACACCTCTAGTTCTATACCCCTCTAGGTCTATACACCTCTAGTTCTATACCCCTCTAGGTCTATACACCTCTAGTCCTATACCCCTCTAGTTCTATACCCCTCTAGGTCTATACCCCTCTAGTTCTATACCCCTCTAGGTCTATACCCCTCTAGGTCTATACACCTCTAGTTCTGTACCCCTCTAGGTCTGTACCCCTCTAGGTCT